ATACCGTGGTTAGCGGACTGTGGAATGGTTTCCAAAGTGTACATGACTGAGGGTAATTTGGTTCCATTAAAGAACAATAAATTGATGATTTTGATATCATATTTTTGATGTATTTCCATCATTTTTGTTATACGTAAACAGAGACAACTGTCATTGTGTAAATGTCACCCCTCCGCAAAAGGTTCCGATTTTTTTCAAGGAAGATAGCTCTCACCCGGATCAAAGTGATTGTAAAATGTAAAATAAATTAGTTATAAAGCAATTGTGTATATTCTGTTCAATTTCCCATTCTATATGTTCCCATCTGTGTGTCCTGTTTGCTTTTAGCTTGTAGATAATCACTTTTATCCGTACAAATTCAATAAAAAACACTTTGTGTAACATGTGTTACATATTTTGCGATAAATAAAATATTTTAGGGTTAATTAGAAAAGCTTTTCATTTTATTATTGTTGTGATTGTTCCGAACAATGCCACACACACACAAAAAACGGAAAATATTAAAATTGACGAAAATTTTATTTTTTTGGTATTTTTTTCCAAAAAAGTCCCCAAACTATCGGAATGTATAGATTTTTATAAAATCAACTCTACATGGTTGCATAACCATTACATGAAAGTTTCAACGAATTTTGCTGGTTAATTGCGAAAGTGTGGAGTTACCTTAATCAGTTGTTTTTGTCCGAAAAAGAAGCCGTAGTTATCGGCAGCACGCGTCAATTTTACAACGTAAACAAATGACTTTTTCCCATTTTCAATGCGTATTCCGATTGTATCTGAAGTCGAAAATTAACTATTTATAGAGAAAAAAATGTTGCATGATCATACATTCTAAGTCAACACATGTGAAACAGGAACTTTTGAAACATAACGATTTAAAAAATATTGTTGTTATGCGATCCTATTTACTATAAGTAGATTCTCTTGCCTCATGTATTCATTCCTGAACCGTCATTTTGACATATTTAAATTTTGCATGTAAATAAAATAAAAAACGTTTACTTCAGCAAAATAATTAAATCATACCATTTTACTGAACCCGGGGATATTATAAATCATGTAAATATAATAGCGCACGTATCTCATTTGACAAAACAGTTATCTCTTGGACGGCTTCATAGCAAAATCAAACTAACCAGTCAATTACCCCTCGCATAAACTACTGTATATAGAAACACAAAGTAAACTCAGACAAAGATACTTGCGAGGTTAATAGTTTTAGATATTTATTCATAACATAAACAGCATTTCTGTCGATTCCATTTCAGCTTTAACCGGCTATCCGAAAGAATACATGCATTGTACTAACTGCTAGTGCAGTTTGTTTTTGCTTTGAATACTTCCGACCTGCAATAATGATTCCGTAACGTAATCCTTGCGTTATCTTTTGACCATTTGGCAACTTCTCGCTTCGTAGCTGACGCAGTAACGGTTTCCTCACACGGCTATACATTTTATTTACACTGAAATGCTGTGCTATGCGCATGCGCTAGTAGAGGGAAATCCCTGAACAAAACGTTGGTCAAACAGGGAGAAATACCGATGATCATCTTAAAATAATTCATGTTTATGAATATATATCAGCCAAATCCGATCGTTATTTTTTTCCATAAGGAGAATCACTTGATATGGTTATGAAGTATTTGAAAAAAGACAAAATAAATATACACTTCTCCGTAATGCCCCTTTAATTATTTGCTATTTGCTACTCTTTATTTGTTTTATTTCGTGACGTTCATATATTGTTAATTTAAGAATAACAATTTTATGATTTTTACTTAAAAAGCCTAACATTAATGTGGTCAATGTATGGAAAATAATATACTGCTTCTGTTTCATGTCAACGATCCACAAACACTGTTAAACACCGATTTTTTTTCACTAAGTGATGTCTGGTTCTAGCTCATTCATTTAACTTAACTTACAAATGTCCGAGGCACGGTAGTCTGGTGGTAGGATGGCGGGCTCGTGACCGAATGATTGTGGGATCGAGTCACGTCACGGCACTGTGTTGTGTCTTTGAACTATTACCACGGATAATAATTTGTGAACCACTATGAGACGATCTACGACCTAGATTGTGATAAAGCGATATATACAAAACCTCGAATTATTAATATTATTTATTAATCAACGTTTCATAAGTTTACAGTTCGTAGTCTTTTTTTTATAATCATATTGTCGACTGTTCAAATCTACCGACATCCGTCGTCCGTGTTCACTGGTCCTTCCGTCAATTGTCTGTCCTTAAACAATTATTGAAATGTATGGGAATTTAACACAGGTATGCAAATGTGCATTCATATTATCTGCGTTAATTTCATTTCAAAGATGGAACATACGTTGTTAAAAACTAAACTTTGTTTACCAAGTGATCGGTTATTTCAGCATTTTTTTTTACTTTTCAATATCGGATTACAGCATCATAGTAAGATTCAAAATATAAATATAGAGTATGGATACATTAATTATGTAGAATGCACTTCGTCTAGAAATAATGATTTTTCTTTATTTTTCAGTTAAGATACTGAACCTAGATGATAGTCCTAATCAGAACGACAGCACTTTACAATTGATACTGTCATTACTATCGAATGTATTTACATATGACACCGTCATCATACTACAATCAATTTCAGTACATAGTACTTGGTGAAAGTTATCGCTGATATCGAACACAGGAGCTGGCAGAATGTTTAAATATCCAAGTAATGGCGCAAACTTAAACAAGTGTCTCATTGAAATCGTAATAATGGTGATTGCGACTGCGAAAATTAGGGACAAATGCGGCTGACGGCATAATGAGAAAAAGACGTCTAAAGTCACGAGACATAGTTTCCCATACATTCTGCATGTGGTTGGAATGTGATTATTATTAAAGCTTGTGTGTTTCTGTTATTATTCAGGAGTATTAAATATGACCGTATGATGATTTTATGATGTTATAAATCGAAATGAGTCGGACATCGGTCATTTACTTACTCAGTGTAAAATTACCGCCGTAATATAGGCTAAATATAGCGTGTAATCGGAAGTCGAATGGAAGGCGACTCCAGACTATTTTCCGGTCGATGACCTTGTTGTGATAGACGTCGTGCCACACTTCATTTTGTTTCACTAGTGCTATAAGGATATATTATTTGTTCATAGCTCAATATCAATATGTTGTGTAAAACATCGGAAGATGTTGCTTCATAGGAGGGGTTATCGTACAAGTTTTTTTTTTTCTTGTAGCGTTAATTCTTAGATCCAACGTTAGCCTACATGATTATGATCACAGGGACTTGTCGCCGCCGGTAATGCCGGCGCGGCATTTTTTGTCGTGTTATGATATGAAACTATATGATACTATCTTCACATTCGTATGTGGCTAAGGTTAGATATTACATATTGTGAATATTATTCAGCAATGGCCTGTGGTTTGACTTTGTGCCAACCATGAGTTAAAACTTTCAATATGAGTCAACTGTCAGTGGCGACTAATAGCAGTACCTGTAGTATACCAGTCAAAATAGTCTGATAGCGAGGACAAATTTAATTATGAATCTGATGTTTCTGCAGATAATGAACAAGATGTATCGTTTTTGTCGATAGAGCCAAATAATGGGAACGAGTTTGAAATTATTTTTATTTTATATATGATCCGTTTTTTGGTATATTGCATTAATTGCATGTAACTGCAATGTTGATGTGACATTGCAATTTGACTTGCATTATTTGGGTAATTTATTATGTTGGAAAATGTGCCCTAATATACTGAGAGACCTAATTCAAAAGACATGACTATTCCAAAAATAGTGTTGCTGTATCATGTGTGTATACTGGTATTTATTTATTTATTTAAGATAATCTACATTACTTGTAAGTAATATCTGACCTGCTGGTGTGGCAATTATATCCATAATTGTTCTAAATCAAAGATCAATCACTTATTTCGCTACAATGAAATGTGAATGTTGCAAATTGTGTATATCAGCATTTCCAAAAAAAAAGATATCTGACTGTGGATTATCTCCCTTTATTGTATATTATATAATTATGACGAATTCATCTTAATGTTGCTAGAGCTATATTTTAAATACTTCAGTGAGTCCAATAACCAGACTCTGATAATTAAAAGATAATAGTTGAATGACAATTATGAAAGCAAAACAAAATTGTGATTTCAAAAAAATATATGAATCGAATGATTATCTCCCTTATTGTGTCTACCATCTTGTTGGTATTTGCCTATATATGAAAAACATTTTTGTTCCAACTAGATATTGTTAATCCTATATCCTATACCTACATACTGTTTTTAACTCAACCATTTTGTAGGATCATAATATACATATTGACTATACATACGTATACCATTGAGACTGAGACAAAGTTGTGAACTTTGTATTTTTACTATTTCTACCATTAAGTTTTATCTATCAATTATCTCCCTTTATTGTAAATCATTTCGATATGTTCTGTTGATAGCGTTTATGAACGATACATACCAAATTTTGCAGTTGATAGCTGTTTTAAATATATTTAACTTAGTTATATTTAATTCTACCTTGTTGTAATTACATTAACGTTACGTGACTGTGATGTTATATAAAATACAGTCGTTTGTATAATGTCCTTATTTGATTTTGCGTTTTTGTTCAAATTGCATGTTAGATGATCGTGATTTTCTCCGTAATGGTAATAGATTGGCACCTATATATATATATATATTTTATTTCTCACATTGTGGACTTCCAGCAAACCAAATAATCTCAATTTCTGATTTTACCTCATCGACGTAACAGTGCCATATATTTTTGTCAGTTCGTATTGCATATTTCGGTAGTTATTTCTTTTGTTGACGCTGTCATTTGTAATGTTCGAAAAAAAGTCATAAATAAACTGTCAACACATCACTAAAATGAAAGGAACATCAACGGCATAGAAGTGGAATCACTCTCGTATAAACACAGAAGTTACTACAGCATTTCCCAAAAAAACAAAACAGAAACCAGACAAATAGAAAGATGTTTTTCGATTTATTTTTCAGTTTGATTTAATGGTGGACATGGATAGTACATTGCTCCAAAATGAAACACCAAACATGCTGCAATAAATGAGGTGACATTATCATCACGCGGGAAACTGTTACGTTTACATTTTACTCCAATCACTCTTACAATATACAAACATTATCACGGTGTTGGGTTCGTGTTATAATGATTTATTATTTCCATTCATAAATATTAAGGATCCCTGTCTTACTGCGGGCTAAACAGAAGATAACCAATGTATAGGTTTCCATATATACAGTACCCTCTCCCTAATTTCATTCTGGATATACTTGAAGAGGATTGGCCAGGAATTCATCGCTGAGCAAGAGGTTCCAATTCAGGTCAATCCCGACTTACGTTTACTCCCAGGATTCCTTTAATTTTTAATTTATAACATATTATTTTTTGTTACTGTCAATGTTTTACACAATTATGCTTCCTTTCAGGATTGATTCGATTACGCTATTGTCATGCAGGTACCACAAACCCCTTCCAATTTCTAGTTGAATAGTTTGGTCGTGGTGCAGGGATCCTTAACAATACTCACTTAACATACAAGCGTTATGTTAAGGCATTAACGTTTTACCACAATTGTACAGTGTTGAATTATTACACAACAACAAATTAAAAAAAGCGGAAAAAAAATGATTAATATGAACAATTGATGCATCTATCATAAAAGGGATAATTGACAATTATTCTACACAGATAGAAGTACATGGCTCTCAGCCAAGTAAGGCATTTTATTTTTAAACGCATCCTAATCTGACAAGTAACACGTATCAACAACTGCGGATTCATCTGGCAAGGCTGCAATTTCAAAAAGGTTTGTTTTTTAACCAAAAAAATCAGAATATGAACATAAAGTATATGTTTTTGCAATTACGAAATAACATACAATAAACGCTGATTACCACGTAGTCTTCCATGCGTGTCAAGATATTGTTTTGCGATGAAATTATACCAATCTATGATGATGAATCCAATATAATACACCATTGATTCAGCTTAATGATGTAATTTTATGAATATGAATACTGAGGTATGTAAAACGCAGAACTTAAACACCAACTATACAGTGTATTAACCTTTGGTCAGGTATTTGACATTGACATCACAAAGAAAATGTAAAGTGTTACCATTAAAATGTATGTCCTTGATAAACTGAAATGTAAACTTCGACTTATTGTTTTCTATTATGGATTTGTCAAAGAGAAAATGTACAAAACGCATCGAGTATATTGAATAATTATGTGTCCGTTGTTTGAGAAGTAAGGTTTGGACAAGGACACGAACTAAATACGACGATCTTAAATAAAGTCACATTTGTATCACAGTGTCCCTAATACCTTAGTTTTAGTTAATTGCAACTGTTATGATAAACAAAGTCGAACCTTGCTACTTCAGAATGTAGTTAAACAATACTGCACAGACTCATTTATCCGGACTGTTCATTACAATACAGCTATCAAAAATCTACACCAGACCTACTTAAATTGACACATACATTATTTTATACTAGAACACGTTTGTACTCAGTGGTGTATTTAGCAACAACAAAACAGTTAAGGGTCGTGTTACAAAACTAGGTTTTCCAAAATAAAATCATGTTGTGGCAAACAAGCCAATGCATTCAAATGAAACATAAGGTACAATTAAGACATTTCGTCCAAGATATTTAAACTTTCAAATTACAAATTTGGAATGTTTCGACTGCCTATGGTAGTTCATGTTCAAGTAAAGTATGGTTTCTAAGATATTTGTTTCTTAAAAAGAACACTTATTTTTGAATAACAACTCGTCCGTTTTAACGGCAACGAATATCCTTTATCGCAGGCGTTTGAATACGCGTTTATTGCTATTGATTATTAACAAGCAAATTGCCACAAAAAACACATTGAACTGTATAGATATGATGCTGAGCTTCAATTAACATATACAAACATATTATTATTTCCGCTGTATAGACCAGAAACCAACAAATTAGCATGCCTATAAGTACCCAATTAACTTCATCAAAGAATTGGGGTCTCTTTTTGAGAAAAGCTTATTTGAAACCCGTGTACCATAAACACTCACAGGGCTAAACACGAATAATTATTCAAAAAGAAAATCAAAATACTAAAAGAGGTTAATTGTTATGTCTCTACAGAAAATGCACCTATTCATTAAAAAACAAAATGTGTCGTATTCTGGCAGTGAATCAAACTTGATAGCGTTACACTTTTTGAGTCGTGTTAAAGTATACATGAGTTGCTATCAATTTTAAAATCCATTTTGTGAGATGATTTTGAAAAAAAATGTATTAATGAAACATACTGTAAATCACTTTATTTCTGGAGAGATTAATGTTCACATTTATTTGCGAATCGGAATTTTCTGTTAATTTTAATTCCATTGTAATTAATATCAGTATTGATAGTCAATATTAGAATGCCATAATTTAAGCAAATACATTAGTATACGTTATTACGGCAATTCGCCGTACCCAGACAGTTCACCATGGAAATGGATGGACTACGATGATCTGAAGTAAAATGAACGGTCAAGGGTCATGCAACTGTACTTATTGACCCAGCCCGAAACGTATACAAATTATATGTGTCTTCCATTATACCTTTCAAAAATGTTGTGCATTATCCTGTATATTTGATAAAGTAAACATCCTACGTACATAACATGTATTTACACACAGACACCACATTAAACATGTACGTGTGGATTATGACTTACTTAGATTTTTGCTTTTGCATTGTATGACAAGCCAGCTTAACATATAATAACCAAATGGGGTTACCAAATTATTTGACATGAATTTCAATGAAAAAGAGAAACACACACAGGAAACACTTTAAAATGAAATAGAGAAATCTCTAATAGAAACAAATGATATCTTTAAAAAAAATACGATATCTTAATATGCAAATCAGATATAGATTTCTCCATTGCAAATAAAAAATTTTCCAAAATTAAGATATCCTTTTTTCCAAATATATACGGTTTGTTCTAGATGCATTTTGACATATAATGACCAAACTGCCATTGAATTACATCTTACATTGAAGAATAAAATATACCTTGAAATGTACAGGGATATTTGTTGTTTATAAACATTATATTATATTATATTATATGTGTGTATTGATTAGCTTATATCCCATTGAATACATGATATACCTTCATTTAGTATTAAATAGTAAAGGATGGCTTACCAGTTTTACAAATTATACATAGTATGTCTTATTTACACAGCCAATGACAAAATATTGACCATTCATAATACCATAATTTGTGTATTTGACCTGTATTAACATTTCTTAAGTCAGCAACACGATGATTGGATCTGCATACTTTATAGCGGTTATATTTCGCAGGGGTTTTAGTTTCGCTATATTCGCGCTATGACTAATTTCCGCGAATTCTAAACACCAGCGAAATTTTCGAAAATGTTAACCACTTTTACGGACCTTATCACATGTTGAAAGTACCTATAATCCAACGCTGTTATGCAAGCTTAAATATTATCACCGGGCAACTAGGTCGTACATCTAAAAACAACACTAACATATAAGTGACCACAACATATTGATGTGTACAATGTAGGTGATTAATTGATTACAGTTTACTCCTACAAAGGTACATACACCTGCGAGCTTCTATCGAGTGAAGTCAGTGGCGAATGATGATGCACGGGATCAGTGTTTTCAAACGGTTTACCTGTATTTCGAGGTTTAACCCTTAAATGATGACCCTCAAAATACTTTGTACGACACATGATATTCGGGTGCACAGCGAAATTATACCCCCGCGAATATGTACTGAATACAAAACCGCGAAATATTGACCCATCGAATTTAAAGCGCTATACAGTAACATGTTATACTCAGCTACTATACAGCAAATAGTTCCTTTGCAATTGAGTACACATTTAAATACAAGTGGTAACTATGATACAATCGTCCTAATTACGTCCTACCCTCCTGGGCTGGGTTTATCTGGTACATCATCTCCTAAACCAGGTTCAATGGCTAACTGTTGTATCTTCTTTACGTCACTAAAATATCCTGCATCTACAATCAATAAAACGAAAAGAATATTACTCTGACATGTACATATATGTTAATCTGAAAATAATTTTGTTTATAATTCAAAACAGTTTTATAACCTAATACTTATTATTTTTGATCACGACTAACATGTTTGTCAGTAAACATGCTATCAGTCAGATAAATATGAAAATGAAGTTATCAAACTACCTTTACGTAATCAGTCAGAGGATTATATTGATAAGAATTAATTGTTGGCCTTGTTTTCGTTGTCTTGATACAAGACGTTTAAGTGTTCTGTGTCATCTTTTACGTCAATTTTTACTTCAGATCTTGTAAATATATAATTATGTATCGTCGATCTGAAAAGAGAAAGCGTTGCTGTATATAAGAAATGATATGAAGCATCTCAACATTTCAAGTGTTATTAGACAGTTTGAACAATTGTTTTTTCTCCAAAATAGTAAAATGTTCAGTACCTATGGAGATTTTAATGCTGCGATCAGGGATTCGGTGTCCATGTCGCATTCCTGTATCGCCAGGAGTATTGTGTTGACCGTTGGACAGGGATCGATCTCTTTTATGAACGCTTCAAGCATGGCAGTGACCTTCACGCGAGTTTTTACGTGTCTGTATTGGTCGTCAAAGTCATCTACCTTTGCCGGTGAAATACCGAGCTCAAGGAAAAAGTTAAAATATGCCTTAATGTCGACATGGTCAGCGATATTAGAAGCATCCTCCATAGACAGGCACTGTTGCAGGAATCTATCTGGCAACGTCTCGTCTGGAAATAAGTAATATTTTGATGTATTGAAGAAAGAAAACAACAAACACGATACCATAGATAAAACATAAATAAAAAGCACACTTGTGATTATTCTAGAAGTGTTTAGATTATTAAACAGTATTGGTTTGAGGGATAACTCAAGATCAATGTTGACCGAGACTTAACCTCGGGGAGAGGCGTCACTGAGGAAAACCAGAAACGTGTTGTATCTTAGAATCCAATTCATCCATACCTAAAACTTGTATATGCTTTTATCTTTTTGTTTCTGTTTTTTATGTATACATTTCTTTTTTTCTTGAAATTTGACATTAGTCACCTATACTCTTTTGATGTCGTATGTATATATATATATGGAGCGAAAAAGAATAGATATATTAATTGGAAAGTAATCGTACACTAAGCAAATATATGTGGATAAAGATTAAAAAAAAATTGTAATGTTTTATAGAAATATTTAAACATAGATAAAATCAAAGACGTAAATTAACAAATAGATATATTAAAGCAAAACAAACGAATTAATGCAAACAGTCGTATGTTTACCATAAACGCTGTTCACATTGCGGTCAGTGTCAAGAGTGTTCATCAGTTTTGCAGAATCCATTCCGTGTTTTGACATTGCGTCAGCTATAGCCCCGAAACTAATATCCACCTTCATTTTACGGAGATGCAAGAAGACCTTCGTGATGCGGGATCTAAAGGTGAGGTGGCGGTGCTCTATCATGTCCTGTTCCACTGTCTCCTCAGGACAGTCCAGGTCGACAAAAAATGTCAGGTATGAACCGAGGATGTATCTAGACAATCTACCAATCTCTTTGGACGACAAATTTCTATCCGGCAAATCTTTTGTTTTGTCTACAACGGATATAACTTCATCAACAGAAAAAGAAGAAAAACAACAAAACAATGACTGGCTAAACTTAGTAGGAATACACTATAATGAATACCCAGCCCCAAACGATATAGCATATGTGGCCCACCCACGCGGCTGCGCTAGACTGTAATAATGAGAAAAGATGAAGTTAGTGTATACACGCCCGCCAACCTACGCGGCTGCCCTAGACTGTAGCTATGAGAAAAGATGAAGTTAATGCAAAAACGCTCGCCCACTCACGCGGCTGTCCTATACTGAAATACTGAGAAAAGATCAAGTTAATGTAGACACACCCGTCCAACCACGCGGCTGCCTTTGACTGTAATACAGAGAAAGATGAAGTTAATGTAGACACGCCCGCCAACCCACGCGGTTGCCTTTGACTGTACTAATGAGACAGAATAATTGAATGTAGACACACCGGCCCACCCACGCGGCTACCCTAGACTCTAATAATAAGAAAGAATGAATTGTATGTAGACACGCCCGCCCACCCACGAGGTTCCTCTAGACTGTAATAAGTTATTATAAACATGCCAACCCACTTCATTGGCCGCCGACGTGCGTAAACATGCACATAACGATATCATCTTACCAGCGTAGCGCTGATCAGTCTGCTGCATCTGTAATAGAAAGGATGTCAAACGATATTTTGGAAGTATCTGACTGGATAACTCAGTATAATTGTTTGATTATTTAAGAACTATGAGCCATACAAAAGGTAAATTATACATAAAAGGTGTAAAACCTGTGGATTCTCAGAAGATATTACATATGAGTAAAAGATAGTCTATTTATAATATATTTTCATCAGCTGGACACCATAACTTACTTCATTTCTAAATAATTACGAAACATTGAAATAGTTAATATAATATAAAAATATTAGTTTTATTTCGTGAATAGGAACCTAATTGTATCCTCTCTTAATGAAAATGATGCATTAAGTACAAACCTTCTGCTTGTCATCCTCGAACCAGACGTAGAGATCATTTTTGTGTATCCATCCAGATCCATCCGAACTGTAGCATTCTACACTTTCCCTTTGATGGAGATCTTCTATTCTAACCATTCGTTCACCTGGCGTGAATCGGTAGTCGTTGTGGAGGTAGAATTGGTACTCAAGATGACTTTGATTATTCAGCTCAAGAATTCGCATGAGAATGCCCTGCATGATTTTACGAAGACTGATTCCGGTTCCATGCAGCAGTACTTCTTGATCCCTACTTCTCGTGAACATGACCATTTTCATGGCATTGTTCTTACATAAGATAATCATTTTCCAAAGACTGTTCACCTGCAGACAGGCAAATCCGCGCTGAATAAACTTCGAACCATCCAGACCGAGCTCTTCAAGTCGCTGAAACCTGTGGATACAGGCGGCAATCATCTTGTCCCAGACGGCCTGTGGGATGAACGGGTTGTCGAACTTGAGGCAAAGGGCGACAGTTGTGACAGTGTCAGGATCATCAAGAACGGGACGAATTAGCTCGGGATCTGCAGTTTGAAGAATGCTAGGTACTATGAAGTAATTCACCTCTGCGTCTACAGACAGGGGTTTGGACAGTAAACCGAGAGTTTCCAATGCAATGTAGAGAGTGTCTTCCTCTTCAAGGAATCGGAATTCCTCGTGTCGTCCCCAAAGTTTCCGGATAAATTCTACTGGTAAAACACCAGATTTCTCATATGCTCTCCACTCAAGTTTTTGCTTCATTGTTAGTTCCGTAATGAACCTTGGGTCGGTGATGATGGCTTTGAATGCATTTATTATCCACTGTGCTTGCAGAGCGATGAACGGTTTCTTGTTATGGAGATCAAAGCACAGGAATGATCCAAAACACTTCATTTTCCTAAACCGAAAGAAATGTATCTGTTTGAAAAGTATAAAATTATTGTAACATATCTGATGAAATGTGTAATGATTATTTATACTTACCATAAGAATTTCATGATATCATCTTCTACTAATGGTACTGCTAACTTCCTGTTGATTTCCAACAAATCATTATATGTCAGGATAACCTTGCCATCATTCTTCAGTCTCACCAACTCGTGTTCAAAGGCGACCCATCTTGCAGGTACAGGCTTCATCCATTGAGATTGGAGTGGGGCAATATCTATGATCGTTTTCCATATTTGCTGGTACGTTGCTTGATTTTTCGTGGAATCATTCAGATCTGCAATGGGGAACATTTCCTGGACGTGGGTTTCCATAATTGCACCTAGGTCAGGTTTTTCGTACAGCTTTTCTAGCACTGAGGCAAATAAATGCTGTTGGTCTTCTTTCTGTGTTAGAGAAAAAAACACGTTGAATTGCTCTTCAGATATGCCTTCGCCGGTAGTTATATAAATAGTAACAATAATCGTTGAACTTGCTATGATTTCATTCAGTTTGAGACATATCACAAATCTTTAATCGGGATTCAATCTCAATTTATTTCAACATTTATGCAAGAAAGAACGTTTACTTACTTACATCACGGATAGCCGTGGCCTAGCACTGTTGTTCTAAGTCCCGCCATTTAATGTTTTATGATTGTACTCTTATTTTTTTATCAAAGTTTTATTCAACAACTGGACGACATGTGAATTTATTCCAAACCATATGCATGCGTTCCAAACCAACTAGTTCCGTATAAAGAAAGGTAACAAAGGTATACAAAACTTTTAATCATTGACAATCATTTATCTTGATAATCATTGGCAATATGACGTATCAATGACACGTTCTCTTGGGAATCTCAACACTGCTTCAACTAGCTTTACCGACATTCACTTTGACTTCACCTGAGATAGTTTTGAATATTGCGAACCGGTTTATATGTAACGTCGATTGAAGGAGTTCTGGTAACAGGGAAGTTTGACTGGCTGGGACATACGTGTGAAAAAAAGATGTAACCATTTTATGTTGCATGCTGCTTTAACCGTTATATGATCTAAAACATGTTCATGTCCCTGTCTTACTAGGAACAGTACATGCCACTCGAATCCTGCGTCACACAGGGCTTGGCTGCAAGTAATTCCAGTCATTATTCGGAGTAACGATGACAGAGCTATGTTAGAATGACAAGTATTATACAAATTAAAAACAGACTACACTAAACTATACATTATTTCGGTGACTATATCATATGTTTACGCAGTACATTTTTTGACCACGCATCGCACGAAAATAGTATCAGTTTGATCTTTATCGTAAAAAAATAGATGTGTAACCCTTTAAAGTTTACTCCACACGCAATATAAGACATATAATGACAACAAATGTATTTGCAATATCCACATATGTGTTATCGTTGCTTTAAAATACTAACATTCCGGGAAAGAGAGTCCAAATGAGATCCCACGAGGATGATAGGAGGGGTTCCTTTACCATGTGCTGCTCTGTCGATAGCATAGGTAGCGATCGACCTCAGCCAGAACTCGATTCTTTCTTTAAAACAAAAAAAAAGCACAACGTTTATAGCAGGGCCAGGTCAAACGTATTATTTTGCTATCAAAACATTCCTTATATTGAGACAATAACGTTCTGCTTTAAATATGTTATAACATTTGCTCAATTCTTACCCATGTGTACATATTTTCAATTTCTAGACTATGCAATGTAATGCCCTGGGTCACGTGTGCGGGGCCCAGGCAGGGAACAAGTCAAAAATTGTCCCTCTTTGTTAGTTGTGTTTCTATGTAATTTATAAAACGAATAATCAAATGCTTCAATATACACTAGTGTATATTGATCCACTTGTTTAAGACATAAATATTCTGTCGAAATATGCACAGCTTATATCCATGTTTATACAATACAATCCCATTACTCATATAAACACATATGATTGTGAATATGACCTTATCGTGATTATCGGAATGTTGCATACTGCATCACTGAAACCTTCTTTTTAAAAAGGTTAGGTGGTATATTGGTACATGTAGAAGCTGCGGCTATTTATAGGCTAAACGATTTGTTGCCGTAGCTCGGCGAGAGTTCGGTGGTAGATAGGGCAGGACATCGTTTACACCTTTGTGTACATACGATTCACTGGTCATTCGATGAAGGTGACAGAGTACCTACCGTACTAGTCATCGAAACGTCACATATAAACACTTATTGGTTGTCCTTCATGAAACTTTCACAATCAATAAATACCAACTAGAAGAAAACATTAAGAAACAAAGTGACGTTTTGATAACTAGCACGTTGCATATTCTATCACATTCAAGATGGCTCAAACATATTAATCCGGAAAGTATGAATGTTGGAACTTTTACAAACGTGTCATTGGTTATCATATTAATACATCAAATCTTTGAATTAGTTTATCCGATATGACATTTTCTAGTCAATATATTAGAGAGGAATGCAATCTGATGCCATTGGCCACCATGTGGTCAACTGACATGTCCATCTGTCGTCGTGACCCACGGGATTTTTGGATTGTATAAATGATGGGTGTGACCTGTCGGGGAAAAGGGGCAAAAGGGGGGCAAGATATTGCCCATAAATATAAAAATAGAATCACGAGTTACGAAGGACGACAAATGTATGATTCCTACCGTATCTGCCCCTCGAACTCTCGCCGACCTACGTCAACAAATTGTTTATCCTAGATATATCAGCAGCTCCTACCACTATACCACCTAACGTTTTAAGAAAGAGGGCATCTGTGATGCAACGGTCAACAGTCTAATAATCCCGTTAAGGTAATAGTCACAAATCATATGTTTATAATATTGTATAGATATGTGACAGGTTGTTTATGTCCTTAATCTAGAGTACATACCGTACTAGTCATCGAAACGTCATATATAACACCTTTTGGTTGTTCTACACGAATATTTTCACATCTAAAAGTCACATAACCACACTCACTGGTTGTGCTTTATAAACCTCAATACAGAAGGTACAACAGAAACATGCAGTAAGGTAATAAAACAGTACCGTAACCATCTTTCTGTCTGAGCGGATCCAGACACATAGCCACGTCGAACACCAGGACGAAGATCATGTTGCTTGACATAAAACAATGATGCGTGTTGTAGAAAACCTTCTCCCCACCAAAGTCGTATATCGTGACGAAGCCCTTCACGTTCTCTTCACCATCGTCATCTGTCTTGGTGAGCATTACCGCCTCTATTTCGCTATTTTGTTTTTCTGAAGAGATATGTCTTCTATTTTGTTTTTGTGTTATTGCTTCCTGTTGAACTTCTGAAGAAGAAGGGTTTTCGCTACTTTGATGAGGTATTTCCTGTTGTTGAACTTCCTCTGCAGAAAAAGGATCTTTATGAGATAATAAACATGATGTTCCACAATGCTGATGTAAATTTGATGCCATTGTATCAATTAATATTCTCCAAAATTTCTTAAACTAAACAAACTTGCATACAAATAAGTTGCTTATATTTTCCTAAAACGAGAACGCCATATTTATTAATAACGTAAATACATTTCTTAATTAACCAAAATTATGGATTACTATAAAGCATTTGCTATGATTTGGTTACTCATTGATATTTTTCTTGGAATCGGTATGCTTAGTTTACTAATTAGAATGACCAAGGACATTGACCTCCTCTTTTTCCTCTGAATGGGAACTGCTTGATACCTGAATAGTAATACGCAATGATTATGTCAGTGACAATACAGCAAGTAAAACGGAACATTAAGGTTTATTAAGGATGTACACTTCTGATGTTTAAATCACGTTCAGAACTCGTTTTGATCTCTTGTAATGGGTTTTCATAAAATCTAACAAGTTATGAAAGACGTTTTAAAGAATTTAAAAAGGACCATTCCTGCAGCCATTTTGAAATTATTACAAAGGGTGATATGGGAAACCTCAATCATTTTTCTGAGATATATGAATAGTAAGGAATTTTGCTTCCATGATTTAGAAAAAAGTACTATTTATATCAAATGTGCAAATATCCGTACATTTCTGATAACACACTTGGAAGATCTTCTATGAACTTGCTCTGCATACGTTCATAAATAAAAAAAATCGCCATAAAATAAGATATTATGTTAAATTGGTACTGTGATCGATCGTAGCACACACAACGAGCAATGGACATATATAAATATTATAAAAAGCAGAAAAATTATCCTTGCGGACGTAGAAAAAATATAAAAAGAATAATTATCAGCAACAAGTCTTTAGTACTTTCACCTCGTCAAGGAAATTCTTCAGACTATTTCAGTCTGAAGAATCTTCTTAACGAGGTGAAAGTACTTAAGACTCGTTGTTGAGAAATTTTCTTTTTTTATATATATATCATTTTTTTGCATTCTCTACTATGCCTTTTTTCTTTTTTTTTTTACAAAAACGTATCAAAGAAAAACAAATTAGTATTTCTTTTTCTAAAGAGTACATCCTTATCGTCAAGCGAAAGTTACAAGTTTTACCATCAATATGCCTACTAATTTATAACTTGCCCAACTATTAATGCGAGGTTATTAAAGACCTTTAAGTCAGACGTGGTTCATACTGAACTGATTATTTTCCTTGATATGTAATGATATTTAGAATATTTCTATTGGTATGTGTCCAGTTACCTGTCTTTTTTCTCGGTGACAACATAGGTGCATCCACTGACACCTCGCTTTTATCATCGTATATATCTTGGGTACTGGCAGATGCCTCCTCCTTATCGCCGTTTTCATCCGGTGTATCTGCAGACAGTTGTGCAGCGGTATTTTTTTCTTCACGATACCGGGCAATGATACGTTGCAGTCGCTGTCGACCTGACTCCATTTCTCCGTTTTCATCAAGTGTTTGTCTAAACCCGGTGTCTGGGTTATAGCCTATAATATTGACGTAGAAGTCAGCGGTATCTGTCGAGCCTGGTCCACCTTCCGGAATAGATTCCTGTTTGAGTTGCCGGACGAAACAAGATTTGCCAACTCCATGATGACCAACGACAGTAATGGTGATATTACAAGGCTTTTCCTCATTGTTGGCTATTCCTGAGGTATATTCTTGCTGCTGCTGCAGCTGCTGTTTCTGCTCAATTCGTTCTAAACAATTATTTGACATTTAAAGAACACATAACACATTCCTTATTTGATAGTTCAGTCCAAACTGGAAAACACTGGGACTATGCTATGCTTCCAGTTTGTAGATACAGACCCGTACATGTTCGCTGTTCCACATTGAAAGTGCTACGCAGGTACTACGGGAACGGTGGTAGAAAGTGCTACAGTAAGCAAACGGCAGGGACACGGTACGCAAACGGTACGCAAGTGCAACGGATGACGTTTAAAAAGCCTATTCGTTTGTGGTGACATGAACAGGTTTATATAAAAACGGAACCATACATATATAAAACATCTAAAACAAAACAAATATACTAACACTGCATCGAAAAAGAAAACGTCAGTAAAGTGTAGGCTACGAGGAGGCACGTAAGGATGTCTTAATTTTTGACATTTCGTTTGGATAATGGAATGAGTGTGAAACAAACAGAAATGTCCTGTGATTTAAACAGATAAAGGTCCATCACATATTGGTTACATTTCCATCACAAAGACCTGACGTACGCTAACAGATCAATGTGACACACAGGTAATTATAACTTATGGTATGTGTTTCCACCTGCTTACCGAATGAAAGACTAATCAATATTGACTATAAATATAATTGTTATGTGTTTTAACAAGAAACGTAATAATATATATGCATAATAATTAAAAAATACGGATAGAATTTCAGACTTCTGTGTCATGGCCATGGGTGCAGTACCTCTATGTCCACTTTTTTCTATCGTCTTTAATACTCATTTACTAGTACAAACAAATACATGCATTTAAGGTATACGATTTACAATAACCTTTCTTGTAGGCATATTCATACATTTCATTTATAGATAAACAGTGTTTTGTTATACATATCTTATTTTATCATACAATTATAGTTGATTCTTGTTTTAGACTACATAGTTTATTGCTAGGGAAGTTATATTATACGATTTAGTACATGATAATTTATATTCTCGTGCTCATGCATGTAGGTAACTATTGTGAATACGAAAACTGATATGTACTAAATATATGTATTTTTTCATTCATGATATGTATCTTTGGTATTGATAAGTACATAGGTTTCGTTGATCGATCATTAAAATGTAGGTATATATACTGACTTTTCTACAGGTAAGTTTTACCTGTCTGAATCCTTGTACTGGAGACACTAGTGAGGGGTGTGTACTGCATACGGGTCTGATGTCAGATAACATAGGCACTGAGATCACAGTCAAACTATTTCTCAGTGTGTACCTAAATGGTCGTGGATCGACGAGTGTGGTGGCTGAGGGCGATAGGTTCTGGATCAGGGTCCAATGACAATACATGTATAGAGTTGTTCATAGTAAAGGGTGGGTGTAGGGGTGTGGGGGTGAGGTTGAGGGGGGTAACACTAATTTTATTTCATATAATATATAAATTTATTACTGATATATACTTTTTCCCTGTGTGGGGGTGTATCTATATAGTCTGTAGTGCAACATGAAAACGTTATTGGTGTTAAGGGAATTTGTTTATCTGTGCTCAATAAATGTTAGTTTAAGAGCCACAACATTTAATCAGTTGTCATACGTGTACGTAGTTTTATCACAAGGTAAACCCAAGTCTCTGATACTGTCCACTGTGTTACTTGCTAAGGGCGCTAAGTGGTACTAATTGGTCAGCTGTAATAGGTCAATTATCATTTGTCATTGAACCATATGAGTTAAGTGGTACACTAGACCGGAAACGTTTGACTTATTGTGACATCTTTAAAATTAGCACACACATAAAGGGCACTCCGTTAACAAACTTCCTATAAATAACAAAGTAGCACATTATATTTTCTTATGAAATAAGTTTTAATCCATTAATACGAATCAGATTTCTAGGATATCACATGATTTTAAAATGATTTTTTAAATGATTACTGAAAATTATCATCATTGTAAACAATCTGATATTGGGAAGGTTGTTATGTATAAAGGTTGGTATCTAACCATCCTCGCTGATACATTGTAACAGAAATCATGATATATTATTTTAACAAAATAAAATCATCTAAGTGAGAATTTAAATATCTCAGTTAAGGGATATACAATTGATTTGCATTAAATTAGGAATTCGAAATAAAATATTGGTTTATCTTGATAACGGCATTGTTTTGAAATTAAATTGTGCCTGGTGCTGTCATTTCCTGATTAAGGGACAACGTTAGTATCTTACATGTAGGTGTTTACCTAGTACTGATTTACTTGTATACAGCCTGGTGGCCATACAATTATTTGGATTAATTTACATGGAATTAATTGCCCTGAAATCACACAAGGTGACCTTGATCAGAACCCAATGTGACCACGTGTGAATAGTCAATGTGTTATTACTGCCTATATTATAAGGTATATATATCATATCGAAAGACAAGTATCTGTCCGCGGGTGGTAAGGTTGCATTAACAACCGTTATAACTGCGACTGAAGTTGTTTAAACTTTAAACAAGTGAAACGTCATTACCACATTGTCAACTATATGTCTGTAATTTGAATTACACCTTAGCTGCTGGTGTAAGGAACACACAGTAGGCCAATGGAAGGAGGGTTGTGTATGTCCATAAATTCACAATATTTCATTTAAAAACCGACATGTTTGTTTTCTAATTCGAACTATTATGATAATTGGAATAGTGATCATGACATGCGGTTGACAATTATTTTTTATCAACAATTCGTTTCAACAAATATATATTCCGAGGAATTTTCAACCAAACGTTATAGGACTCACACAACTTACAAAAATCAGTCCCGGCTAATTACTGGACCACTGGGGAAGTTTAATAAGGGACTGATGACATGTTTTTAGATAAACGGAATTTTAGAAAAATGTATACTTTTGATATATTTCTATGTCAGTACGAGTTTGCACAGGGGCAGAATGTCTGGGGCGTATCTGTTTTGAGTCAACGGTTTTGCTTGTACATTTCAGGTTGTCAACTTATCGACGCTGTGACACTCCAATTCACCGCTTAACATACCAAACAAGTCATTTTGTAGCTGTTGTGAGGCATGTAGCTATCAATCTTGACAAATGTCACTGGTGTTAAACTTCAAATAATAAAGATATTAGATAAAATGTTTAGTAATAACATATAGTAAGAGATTTAGTTGTGTAAATTCTTCACAAACGCTTTTTAAACGAAAATATGAAGACGCAAATACTACGGAAACGATACGCAAGTGTTAAGGAAATGGGACGATAACGGTACGGAAATGCTACGCATGTGATATGCAAGTGCTACGTAAACGGTACGGAAATGCTATGCAAACGGTACGGAAACGGTACGCTGAAAGTGGATCAGCCAACGTGTACGGGTCTGTGTTCCGGATATTAAAACACCTGATTAAACATCATTTCTGAATGTAATGCAATCGAGGAATACAAATGTGAATTATACATTTATCCTTAATATCATTTTGGGGATCACACAACGTTTAACGGTGTGCAGTTCGCACGGTGTGTACCCGATATGTGATCGATGGGCGAACGATACAATCTGGACGATTATTGCTTTCACACATATGTGGGGACGATGGACGAACGTTGTGCGATGACAATCGCGGTTGGTGTAAATTGTGAAATAGCTTAACAATATATCCTGTTCGTGTTTAAATATATCAACTTGATTTTTTTAAAATATGTTACTATATTCTAGCTACATATATAGGCTGATATTTCTAAAAAAATAAATAATCTCGAAATGGTGTTTCAGTGTTTTTATAAACGACCCAAATCGACTCATATAAAATTAGTACACATACTAGTATGGACTTGGTCACAAATACAGGTAAACATAGCCACGTTGTGCATGCACGTACGTGGGCCGTAGTTTATTAACCCGGGACACTTACGTAACTCGTCAATATGTAATTATCAAGTTAAATGGAAGCTGTAGAATGCAAATAACAACTACTTTACGTCCAGCTGTGTGTTCATAAGTCATACGGTAGCATATGACGGCTATCTGTGTCAGACACAGGGCGCCAGGTAAAACTCCGATCACTCATCAAATGGTATTAAACAGTTCTGTTACCTGGGAATGAAACCTGTTCTTGACAGTTTAAAAGTCACCGTTATATTGTGTAACAAGCATTATAAAATTACCATGATATGTCATCAATGTGTTAAGAAATGTATGTATACAGTGTTCTCATTCCATACGAGCCTTCCGGATTTTTCTTAGTCCGTCATATTGATCAACAAAATGTATCAACTATCACCTTTGTGCGGAGAGAAACGCACAGCGGGGCGAACGAATGTTAAATTGCACAGTTGTGTGAGCCATGTGCGGATCTTTTACGCACGGTGTATGCACGATGTGCCCACGCTATTTTTGGTGCGTTGTGCGGTCACACAACTGTTCAAAGTTTTTGTACTGATGTTAATCAATCAACAGTCATGTAATCATTTAGTGATTAGCATTGAGTCCGATAAACGGGAGCTGTGTAAAACTAACTTTGCGCCCGTACAGTTTCGTATTTTTCAACAGGAAGTATAACTAACACCAACATAAACTACTATCAATAAGTTTATTTGATATATTTAAATATCAATTATTATATTTA